TGTACAACCAAATATACAATTATAATTGGTTAATTTTGCAGATCATTAAATTTTGATTAGTTTATTTTCATGCTATACGCAAACAAATAGTAAACAAATACTCTACTCTTAAATTTTAGGTGTAATTGGGATGTACAGTACAAGCTTGATCTAAATTAATTACTAAAAAAAGTTAGTGTTAGCATTAGCATAAATATTAATGTAAAACTCAATAGCAATAAAATCTTGTACATATATATGTATATAATATAAATGTAATTTTTTCAATTGTATTTAAAATATTCTGATTTCTTAGATCAACAACCTTTAAGCCTATTTAGAGTAATACATACCAAATTAATACAAGTTAAAAACTTATAGATCTTTACAAAATAATTTTCACATGACAAGATCATACTGTCTAATAAGATCTAAGATTTTGTATACAGTTAGTTAGCTATAAACCATATACTTCATTTTACTACATTTTTGATATATATTGTTGTATCTAATTATTAGTTGGTAGCAAAACCACCACATGATTATGTACTAGTTATATATATGTAAAATGATCGGGCTGGTCAGGTCGGGTCAGGTTTTGGATTAACCTAACCTGATCTAGGCCCAACCCATTGTAAAATTTTTTATTAGGCTCAGGCTCAGGTCAGGTTTAAACGGGCCCGGGTTAGGTTTATCTAAACCCAACCCGACCTGACCCATCCTGTATTCTAATATCCTGTATCTACTAAAACCGATATTAGTGCCAGAGGTGTTCGAATTTCAGTAAGTTTATTCCTTTTTCATAGCTTCCTTTTATGTTCACCGTATCACCTGCTAGTACACCTTCTCTTCATTTCTGGTATATTTACTGCTTCTCTCACATTGAGTGCCAACTCTCTATATTGGAAGGCTTCTTTTCAAAAACTTGCTTATATACCGATCTTCTATTTACATGGACTTAGCTACAGGGCTTCGCATATATTCATATGCTTCTGTAGATTACAGAGTTTTTACCTCTAGCTAGAATTGAACCGTTGACATTGTCTGTGGCGGGAGGGGCGCCTAGACCACTAGACTACGGGACCCCATCCCTCATTCATTTTCTTTTCAGAATTTTCAGACTATTTCATTCATATTTATTAACTTTGCTCGGCATAATGTACTCTGACCTAAATTATATATACTTTAATTTTCTTATATAAAATTTAGATAAGATAAAATGCGCATGATTCGGAATCATGCGCATTAATGCGCATAATTGAGGAATTATGTGCACGCATGAAACCTATCTCTAATCATACGTACGTACTTCTGTGATTTGTGTAAAGTAGTATAATCAAGAGCTATGAAAAAAATATCAAATCGCAATATATTACGGGTACCCATCAGTACCCTGGGCTGGACAGTAATACTACCCTAATCCTACAAGGGCTTAATGTTTCAAGTCCGGTCCTTACCCTAAACTCAAAAATCAATATCCTAATCCGGTCCTTACAGGACTACCCACAGGGTACCCACGGGTAGTCTAGTCCTTTGCGGAGGCCTAATTGTACGTGTCAATTTTAATGATCACAATATTCCCATCAAAAATTTTCGTCCATACGATTCAAATATACATCTAAGATATTATAACAAGACAGATATATGTATTTTCATGTAATATATTTAATTATTTAATTAAATATTAACTATCGCTATTACCTGTTGCGTACAAAAAATTCTTTATTCCGTTTCCATATTTGAAACTATATCTAATTTAAAACCCAGACTTTTCAACCATTATTTTACTACGTAGCATATACAATGCATATATGTTCAGTACATGTTTCTCATAATATTCTAAAAAATTATACAATAAAAAAAAATTAGTAAAGCACTCTATTATTATTTATACAGAATATTTAATTGAATTGAATTATTTTTAAACATTGATGCTAAATATATATTCCAACATTACAAGATATATATCGTATGTTACCGAATAGAAGCAAACAAAAAAAAAAGAGAATTTTTTCGAGCCAAAGAGAAGGGGTTGCTTTTATTTGAACATTACAACCTTAGTCAAATTTTGGCATCAAAATCTGGAGGGTTGCTTTTATTCGGTGGTTGCTTCTAATCGGTAATATACGGTACTATAACTTATTGCTTTGGCTTTTTTTTTTTGTTTAGTGAACTAAATCTTAACAACTTAGTATATAGTTTAATATTCGCACGATGCTTATTTTTATATATGCTTTGCATAAACTTTGCTACGTAAGTGAAACATAATACTAAAGTTATTGAATTCAAATGGATTCAACTGATATTATCGAAATCTATATAATATGAAAGCTTTAATTTCACATTTTATAGCAAAGATAGATTATACAAGCTACTCAAAAGTATTAAAAAATCTCATTGTTTTAGTACTTCCACATCCGTTTTTGCGTTATAAATACAAATTTCAATACGTACTATCACTATGCAAATAATTTATCAAAAAACGGGTGCGAAAATACCTGATCCCTAGTTTTTTTTATAATGATGATAAAGTTCAATAAGCTATTGGCTGATGCTACATGCACATCATAGTTTGATCGACCAATCAGTTTCTAACTGATCTAGCTCGTTTTAACGATTTAATACCCCATATCGATATTGGTTCTTCTGCAAAATACTGCATTATCTGCATTAAACAGAAAGGGACCTTGACAATAGGTAGATAATTATATATTTATGTAACCAAGATAATATAATTATAATATAATTAGTGAACTATTGTAAATTTCCTTTTTTTATTTAATTAAATAGACAAACTCTTTCTCTACGTAAACTAATTATATATGTCTTAGTACAAAATTAAATTCTATAACCTGATGATTTTTTTCTATAAATTGACTATTAAAGCTAACCCAAAGTAATCGGTTTAAAAGAGTTTGACTATGTACATTCTGAACAATTATTTATGAACAAAATCAACCCCTTTTTCGATATTCTTCTTTAATTCAGGTAAAGCAGCTTCTAAGAGCTCTTTTTCATATTGACTTAATGGACCTAAATCGTGAATTTTACCCACACCCTCACGACTTAATTCGACATTTGACGCGAAATAATCTATTCCCTTAGATTCAAATAAATGAGATTTCACGTAAGCAGGCTCAATGACACCACTCTCACCTTTTAGTGCTCGAAGTAGAGAGTTGGTGAAGCGAGCAGCTGCGAAAGCCATGGAAAGTGTTGCAGAACCAGTTCCTAAATTATTATAAAGCATCAATAATATTTGTAATTTAATGAAGTTTCAATGGTTAATATAGAATATAGAATATAGATAATACACATCATCACTACTTACCGGCTTTAGCTTTAACCACTTCGTCACCACCGAATTGTATTCTGTGCGTTAGAGCTTTCAATTCGTCATCTGTGAATTTCGAGCCAGATTGAAATATAAGGGGGATGATGGTCACACCAGAATGTCCACCAACTACTACGATATTCTCATTTTTAGGATCAGTACTCTTCAATTCGGATACGAAACGAGAAGCTCGAACAATATCCAACGTCGTAACACCAAAAATTCTTTTATTTATATGTAAGAAAGAAAGAATGAATTAATTATAAATGAGAAAAAATTGAAGGGTGATTCACACCTTTTTGGATCATAGACTTTATGTTTTTTGAATATTTCCGAGACAATTGGCACAGTAGAGTTAACAGGATTCGATATGACAGCCATATACGCGTTAGGTGCATATCTGATCATTAAGAGTTTGTTAATAAAAATTAAATTAAACCAATTCATATTGTAATTGACAGTTACTGTGCAGCAGCTGTAGCCAAATCCCTAACAATTCCTGCATTAGTCTATATCATTAAAAATAAATTGAATTGTAAATTGAATTGTAAATTGAATTGTAAATTGAATTGTAAATTGAATTGTAAATTGAATTGTATTAAATTGTGAATAAAAAGTGTCATATGAATTAGAAATTAAATAACCTACGTTAAACAAATCATCACGAGTCATGCCAGGTTTACGAGGAACTCCAGCTGGAATAACAATTATTGTAGCGTCTGTGACTGCATGTTTAAGACCATCGTTATCAGGGGCGTAACCAGTGACCTGCCAAGTTTAAAACGATATGTGAAGTTGAAAGGAACAAAGGACGATAGTAACTTTTGATAAATATAAACCTTGCTATGGGTGTTGATATGGCTTAAGTCAGCGGCAACACCAGGTGCATTCACAATATCGTAAAGAGACAAATGAGATATTGATTCGTTAAGCTTGAGAAGAAGTGAAAGTGGTTGCCCGATACCTCCGGCGGCACCAAGGACAGCTACTTTGGTAGCATTTGCAGCTGAAGTAGAGAAAGCACGCTTTGCTGTTCCAATGTTAAGTCGCCGAACGGAGAACATAATTAAAATATTATTTTATTATTATTATTTTTTTTTTTTTGGACTTTGCGAAAAAGACCGCCGAAAAAGACGTTTCACTAAAAAAATTTTATCGTGAAAGTTAACGTATTAGTGGGTACCCTTATGTCAAGAAAATCCCGGGCTGAAGATCACTTCCGACCCTATCCGGATCCAATAAAATCACAGGAT